GGGTAGACATTGAAAAGTTTTCCTTTAGAAAGGGACCCGACGGATATTGACGTTAAACTTTTATCATCTTTCTTACTCTTTCATAGATGTCATTCTCTCTCTCTCTCTCTCTCTCTCTCTCTCTCTCTCTCTCTCTCTCTCTCTCTCTCTCTCTCCCTCTCTTTCTCTCACTCTCTGTTTGTTTTTTTTTCTATTCTCGAAAGCGGCAACTACGATACTCGATCTTCGGACAGAACAAGTTTGCATTTTACAGTGAAAACTGGATTATACATATGAGCTATCGAATACACTGAAAAATTCGTAATCCTCACTCTCTCTCTCTCTCTCTCTCTCTCTCTCTCTCTTTCGTTCGCTCTCTTTCTCTTACTCGCTCGCTATCTTATATTATATCCAGTCACGTCCCCGTCCCACGTAGATGATGTTCCGTTTACGACGAATTGCGTCGTCCGACGAAAGTTCTTTTTATTTTCCAGGACAAAGTGCAACAAATAACCTGGTTGGTTTAGTTCGCCATGCGTAGAGTAGACGTGCAGCGATGTGTCAGAGGTCGGAAGCAACGCCGGAAGAGGCATCGGTTATTAGACAGCGACGGTTTCCTTCATCTTCTCTTCGTTCCTCGTTCTTGAAGTACTTGGAGTAGCAGTGGAGTAGTATTTTAAGATGTAGTAGAATAGTAGTTGTGGTAGTAGTAGTAGTAGTAGTAGTAGTAGTAATAGTAGTAGTAATAGTAGTAGTAGTAGTAGTAGTAGTAGTAGTAGAGTAGTAGTAGTAGTAGTAGTAGTAGTAGTAATAGTAGCAATAGTGATAGCAGTGGAGTAGTGGTAGTAGTGACGATCGAACTGTAGTAACGGTGGGTGGTGATAGTAATGGTGGTGGTGGTGGTGGTGATTTTGGTGGATCTTGTTGGAGGAGTTAAGTTGATGATCGAAACTGCTGTTGCTGTAGGTAAGTAATAAGGGAAGTGTGGATCCTTGGATTGTATTAGGGAAGGGGGTTTGGGTGGGTTTTCGTAGAAGTGGTAGTTAATTAGCTAGGGCTGCGAGACAATTAGGGACAGCGCAGCGGGGGTTAACACCAGCGGAAAGGTACGGGTCGAGGCCGATCCGCACCTTCCTTCACCAGAGGTTTGTGGAACTCTCGACCTGGTCGAGAATGAATCGTTGCCCAACAGTGCTCGCAATAGTACTACGAAGAAAGAACAATGAATTATTATCTAGCAAATATGAATGAATGAATGAGTGATATATATATAAAATATATTAGATTATTATTAATATATATAGAAAATATATTAAAATAATATACCTGTAAGCACGTTACGTTAGCGCAGAAAAAGGGTGCGAATTTGCCACCACAACGTTGACCTTGACACTCATCGCACATCTGATCGTCCAAAACGTACGGTTTTACCTCGACCTGATCATACAAAAAAAAAAAAGAAAAAGCCATACGATTGATTAAAAGAAACGTAAAACAAAATTAGAGATGAATCTTGATTCTTTGATCAATAAATTGATTTTCAAAATTGGAAAGGTTTTTTTGTTATTGATATAATCAAACGACTAACCCTTTTGTCGATGTCACCGTGCTGGAGTTGTACGAATCGAGCTGATATCGCAGCGATGTAACTTTGCTGATTGCTGAAAGCGACTCTACCGGCACCCTTAGGATACTTTAACTCGGGATCGGTATCGATGCCAGCATAGCAAACACCTCCGTAAAGTCGATCCATGATCATAGCGAGTTCAGCGGCCTTTAGCGGTCGTGGGACGCCACCAACGAAGACAGTCTTTCGCGGATCGAGAGGCATCGAGGCGTCCAAGACGAAATCCGCGTCGCTCAACCGCCATGGTCTTATTTGTACCGGCTTGTCTTTGATCGTCGGCGAGCTAACACAGAGATAGAGCTTGTCCTCGTCTTGGATGCAGGCATCTATCAACTGCTGTACCGAGCCTTCGTCCTAAAATTAAATTCAACTTGACGTTTACAAGAATATGTTCCTTGTTTAATGTAAGACTTATACATCTTGTCTTTTATTATTATTATTATTATTTTTATTATTATTAATAATATATTAATATGACGTATATAAATATACCTGAAAAAGCAGGAAAGCGTAACCTTTAGGTGGAAAGTATGACTTGCTCTCTGCTTTGTGCGGCCAATCGACGACTAGGGGTCCGAAACGACGGAAACTGGCTGTGATTTCGTCTAAAAATGTTTCATAAGAAAAACGTGACAAATTATTGGATAAGATAATAAAACATTACGATATATTTTATAGGTCACAATAAATGTTGTAATTTTTATCCTGTCACGATCAGTCTAAATCATTCTTCTTCTTTTATTTTTTTTTTTATATTTTTTCTTACTAACTAACCTTCGTCAATATCCGGTGGCAGGCCACCAACGAAGACTTTCCTAGAGAAACGTTCTCCGGTCTCGCTACCCTGACTGTGAGGACTGCTACGACTCGGTGAAGAAAGCGGTGCCGCTTGGGAAGCAGTTATTCCACCTCCGACACCGACACCGACACCAACTCCTACACCAACACCAACGCCAACACCGACTCCAACACCATCGAGTTGACTAGGTGCGTTTGGATCCTCCAAGAGAGTACCGGTTGGTTCATCGAGACTCGGGAAGAACGGAGATTTGCCTGTTCCCAACAGAAATTTAAACGTTACATTGGATACATTAGGAATCATTTCAATTGATTTTCTTAAAAATAAAGAACCAAATTATGATTATATAGACTTCATGTTTCTTTTTAATTGATTGATATATACTGAATATTATTTGATCGTAAATAAATAAAAATACCATTTTGTTGTTTTGTTTTGTTTTTATTTTTAAATTCGAGTTAACCCAAATCGGAGTAAAGTTGTTAATTTAGGTTAGGTCGCAAGACGAGTAAAGAAAAAAGTCGCAATTTTGTTTCATTCATTGTACAAATATATGGATGGTGAAAGGAGACGAAAGAATAAAGGAAGAGGAAAGATAAAACAAAACAAAAAAGTAAGAAAGAAAGAAAGGAAGGAAGGAAGTAGTGGTGGGACTTACTGTATCGTTTTTTTGCAGGAAAAATGGCTCTCCTAATAAACGTCGCCATTTTGAAGGAACTAAGAAGAGATCCCCTTTTTTATTTTCAATCGTATCACCCCGATATGTAACAAACTAAATAGAAATAATGCGTACAAAAGGCGAACTCCGCTTGTTGTTTCTTTCTGTTGTTAAGGAAAAATAATAAACAGGTAATAAGGTCGCGATACGACCGAGTGGAAGGGATCGATGAAGTACGTTTGCGAAACAGTGGAATGAGACTAATTTGTCTTTGCTCGTTTCGTAGCATCTTCCTTCTCTTTCTTCTCGTTTTTCTTTTTTTTTTTCCTTTCTTATTATGTATATATATTTTTTTTTTTTTCATTAGATATGGGCGCAGACACATAACAAAGGAAAGCGTAGGTCAGTGTGGTTTTGTCAACGTGGGTTGTACGCTCCATCTAGGGCTAATTTAAATATTTAAAGAAGAAGAGGCAGGGTGGGGAGAATTGGTAAACGGATATTGAACAAATTATTGACATTTGTAGTTCAATCAGCAGTTTTGTCAAAAATATTATATTTACAAAATTGACATTTTAATAAACATCAAAGATAAATTCTTATAGTCGGATTAAAATCAATTATATTTCCATATGGCTGTTATTTTTGAAATGTTTATTAATGTTAAAGAACATCTCGTTTACCGTTATATAATTTATCGAAATTTTAATGATTTTGTGGTAGGACACGGTTCGAAACAAAATAGGTTAAGAATTGGCAAATGATTTTTTACTTTGGAAATGTTTATGCGGTAATTTGAAATCTATCTAATATCTCATAAAGTGGACGTTAACGATGTTCGAGAATTATTGTTTAAAGGCTTGATGGATTGATATACGATGGTAATAAAGGTAGGTGCATGGAATCAATGGCGTCGCGACGATCGTCTGATGTGAGTGGATTTCGATAATCAACGACTTCATATTATCACCATTTCACGATACCGTCGTAAAATCGTAGTTACGTCAAAGTTCCCTCTCTCTCTCTATTTCTTTTTATTTTTCTCTCTTTATGTATAGTACATATCGTATATATGTATATATACGAGATGGTATATAGGTCAATAGACAACGATGAGATGACTTATTGAAAACAGATTTAGACCTCGAAAAATGGCGTCAAGTGATCGATGCAATGTCAAGAATTATACGTGGGCGTTGGAATAAAGTGAATGTAAATGGATTCGAGTTGAATATATTGCAAATATAAGTATAAATTTACAAGGTGTCTTATTTAAAATTAAATATCTAAATATATTTATCCTAAATTGAGCTGTATGTTTTATCACTGTTAAAAGAAAAAGAAAACAACGAATATTACGACAGACGCGGTCATTTTTATTCTTATCTTGAGATGACCTTAAATGAAAGAAATGTGTTTTTTTGTTTTATTTTTTAAATAGAAAAAACAAATTAATAGACAAATTTTCATTCTACTCGTTTCAATTCAAATAACAAATTTTAAATTTATATCAATTATACTTTACTTTGCGTCAATACGTGGCGTTTAAGTCTCGATCGATGTAAGTAAGGTAAGAAACATTATTAAGCAATCGATAACTTTTTATTATCTTTGAGTCAAGACACTCTTTTAATCTTCGTTGAACGAGATAACGCACGTAGTTCGATGCCTATAATCAATCGGCATCGTAATCGTTATCGCAACAATCAATTTTCGTTTTCAAAAATAGATTATATATATTATAAATTTAATATTATTTATAATTCAGATGAAAAAAGAGAAAAGATGATCGATCATTACGAAAATTATATATATAATAATTTCACGTAAAGAAATACATTTTATTTAGACGTTTATTATTTGTGAGGAAAAAAAAATAACAAACATCATTGCGATTTTTGATAATACACACCTGATAGTGTACCGTCTCTTGATTTCTTTTTTTTCTTTTCAATCTTTCACAAGAAAAAAAAAAAGTGCAGTGGGTGTTGTGTAATATACTAGCAGGGATATATTCCGTTTACTCAAAGGTCTTTCTTATTGTCACAAATCTGTATGCTAAAAATCACTTCCGTTTCCGTCGCGCAATCAAACCGTTTCTACCTTTCAATGTTTCAAACTAAAAGAAGAGTAGGTGGAGGAAGAGGAACAGGAAGAGGAAGAGGAAGAAAAAAAGAAAAAAAGAAAGAAAGAAAGAAAGAGGAAACTGTTGAGAAGGGAATGGAATAAGCTAGGACGAGTTGGGGGATCTCAACGATGATGACGTGCATTTGATGTGATTGCTACAAGAGAGAAAGAAAGAAAGAAAGAAAAAAAAAAGAAAAGAAAAAGAATGAATGAGAAGGAAAACTAGCCGGAGGGTGAATTGAACCATTTGTGCCACTTTCTGTCGCATTGCTAAAACAAGAATAAGGGACAACGAAAACTAGGATTCGTTTGGTCGGTGAATCTCAAATAGAAAAAAATATAAATGTAGAAGACAAAAAAAAAAGGATAGAAAGTAAGAAAGACAAAAAATAATAAATGAACGACTACAGTCTCACGGAAAGAGGTAGTTAATGTAAGTAAAGTAAAGTAAAGTAAAGTAAAGTAAAGTATAAAAAGAGGAAGCGTTCTCTAAAGCAAACAGACGAATCAAATTTTAACGATGATGATTTACCGTCGGGTAATACGACAACGAGTCCGACCAAATTATGGATCGTTAGCTGTCCGTTGTATTACAATTCGCTTTATTACTTTGCGAAAGATAATTTTGCGTAAAATTTATTCGCGATTGAATTATTTCCGATTATGTAGAAATAAAATGTATTCAATATTATCGTTGATATCCTCTGTTAATATATTTCATACGATATATTTTATACTTTGATGTAATTTATTTCTCATTGATAAATGTTTACGTATATTAAATAATATTACACGATTTGTAATGAACGATATTAATTCGAATGAATTAAAATGATTAAATATTATCGCTTTAAACGGATCGATCATTCGTAGTATTATTATCGAAATATTTAATGAAGAAATGCGAATAATATCGAATATCATGTTAGATTATAAACACACAGTTAAAAGATAAAATCGTAGTAGGTTAGAAATGATATGATATTTTATTAAGATACGCGTCTATTTTTGTTACGTTCCTGTCCCCGCCACGTATTGGACCACCTGCAACTGATTACGGTCGAAATAAAAAATTTCTTTGATACTCAAGGGATTAATGTTATTGTAATGAATATATAAGTCTCAAAGCGAGTTATAGACGGTTAATAAATCTTATGAACAATTAATTTGAACTAGTTGTACGTTTCGTCCCTTACTGGGGACTTCATCAGCAACTTGATCATTTACAGTTCACGTGAYAATACATATTATCTTTTTTACAGAGTCATACATTTAAATAAAACTTAACATATTACAATACAATTTGATCCTAAACAC